CGCTGCGCCCTCGTCAGCGAGACCGCTTCGTCCTGCGGCCGGCGGGCGGGAAGGGGCAGAAACGGTGGTTTTTCGTGGACCCCCCCAATTGATCTGTCCTCCTCCCCCGAAACGGGAAGGGGCGGAGTGAGGGGGAGCACACCCCATGTTTACACAGCGTGTAACCTCGTCACCTGATTTCCGTGTTCTGTGGCAGCGTTCTTCTCTTCGCATAGGGAAAACCGAGGGGCTCTGCAACGTGGGAGATCCAGAGCCTCCGCCCCACGTAAACAGTGTGACAAGTATTATTCTGCTTGAGTTGCTCGCTTTTATGTTGGCTCACGGGTTTGGTTAGTAAGGCTGCTCTTACACAAGAGAGGGAGATAATGGGCTCTTCTTGGAGCCTCTTAATTAAATGAGGAGGGTGCAGGTCAGTGAGGTTAAAAGCGAAAATTGACTGCATTCTTTCATATTATCTTCTCTACTAATCCAAAATCCTTCCCTCCCCTATTCAAAAACGTGAAGCTGACTGTAAGATAAGTATGTATCAATTCTCACCTAGAATGAACAGTGGCAAGTGTGTCAGTGGAAAATCGTGTGCTGACAGTGAAATATGTTCAGTGTTGAATAGTAAATTTGCTGTGTCACACTTTAAAGTACTGAACTAGGTAAAACAAGCCCTTAAAGGCAAACTAAGAATGTTTCTGGTGCTGAATTGTGTTAGAATAGACACTTAAAAATATATTTGGAAAGATGTCCCAAAATGGTAATCATTTGGGGTTTAGGACTTGCACCTCCTTTTTGAGGTTGTTGGACCTCAGAATTTTATGGTGCAAAGTTTGTGAAAGAAACTAAGTTCATGATTATTTAAGTGTCAGATGTATTGGTACCTTTTGCTTTCAGACGCCTTTCTTCTTGGTGGACCTGTGAAGGGTTTTATGTTCTGTATCCCTTGGCAACATAGATGCTTCTTTGCAAAAACAGCTATTTGAATGAAGGACGTGTTGGCATGACAGATTTGAAAGCAGATAGTTATCAATACTGTTTCTGTATTTAAGGAAACTTCAACATGCTGTACTGTAAAATTAAAAAAGAAATCATTCGTGCGTTATAGGAAATGTACCTGTGTGAAGTAAAATAAACCCCTAGAGAACTCACCAACTGTCACTATAGTTTTTTCTAAGATAAAAGTCTTACGCTGGCTAACTGCTTTAAATTTGGTGTCTTGTCTCTTTGGTTGGCAAACAGATGTAACTTTCTGCTCAGTACTCTGAGTTGTCAAAATGGGAAGCAGTTCTGCTGTGGGAAAACCACAGCTAGCTTGAAACTCATGGCTTGAAACAAAATGACTTTGCATCTGCCTGCAACACCTGTGAAAATGAAATGTGTATAGCGCCCAGAAAATGGAGCTTGTTTCTTGTTTGCTTCTGTTTAGTATTGGTATGTCAGTCCTAAAAATTCTTTGCCTGATGGTAGTAGATGTCATGCACAATGTGTATTGTAATATTTCTAGAAATGTATTTTCCTTGTTCTATGATTCCCAAGGCTGTCTTTGCCCAGATCTTTACAGTGTCTGATCTGTGAGTGGCAATACCACTGTTGAGAACAATACCATGGTTCTCCCTGTGGTGCATACTTCCAAGTTAAAGTAATCCTGGGGTATCTCTCTTCTCTCTATCTCTCGCTAAATATTGACTTGTAATAAGAACAAGCCTATCCAAATCCTCAACCAGGAAAGACACTTGAAGCTGTTGGTCTTTGCTCTTCATGACTGCACTGCTCTGAGCCGCTTTATTTTATGAGTTTGCCTGCATTTTTCTCTTGCGACTATGTTTGTACTTCCTTTTGTGCTCTCTTCCACACCTAACATTTGTCACAAACTTATGTTTCAGTAACCGGCAAGTGAGAACCCCCTGTGCGCTGGTTATTCTATGAACAGCTGGGTCTAGGTGCATAATATATGTATATTCAGTGAATAGGAGAACACTTTGGCTTTTTTTTTCCCCCCTCGCTTTGCTTTGGGGCTTTGGGGGCTCTGTGTGTGTGTATCTTACCTTGGTATTTGAGCAGCAGAGTTGCATTCTTTGCATGTAAGCACTAAAGCTGGGACAACTGTTCCAAGTTCACAACCATTGCCAAAAGGCATTCTAGGAACATTCAGAATTTTCTTCCCTTCTCTAAGTGACTTCATATGCATGTAGATAGGTGTTACTATGCAGATCAAGTTTTCAGGGCAAAGTCTTATAATAATTTGGCAGTAGGGATATTTTTAACTTGGTCATAATAAAAAAGTGGAATAGAAACACTACTATTGAAGAGATTGTGCCAGAAAAGATAGTGCCAGTTTGAGTTGTTTGAGGAGTTCTTTTCCTAATTCTAGGAACACGCAACCTAGAGTCCGAAACTTCTTGCTTTGGTACCTCCTTGGCAGCGGCAAAAGCTGTTAAAATAGTTGTAAATCTGTTTACATCTGGAGTACTGTCCTTATTTGTTTGTATTAAGTAGTAAGTAGTCTTGAATATGTACTCCTGGAAATGGACGGGAAGAATAGAATTTATAACTTCATAGTGGGTACCAGTGGTTATTTTTAATGACTTGCAGAGAGTCCAGTCAGTTATTTCCCCTTGAACTTTCTAGACATTCAGCTTTTTTGTTTGTTAAGCATTTTGCGTAGGCTTTCTAGTTACAGGAGTAGACTCTGTGCCTACTTTGGGAAGGTAAGGAAGAGTAGTAAATGAAAAAGTGAATTAAGTTCATTCCTAAAGCACAGACCCCTTGATAAAAATAACCTCTGCTGTTACTTTTTTTCTTATTTTTGGTATATTTTGATAAATTTCTCTAAAAAGTTCATGAAAGAGGAAGTGCTCAAATGTGCATTTTTTGTGTTCATGCTGCAATACAGTATAATGAAGAAACATTTTCTAACTAAAAAAGTAAAAATGTAATTTTACTTCAGTAACATCTTTAAATTACAGATAGAGCTACTGAGGTGACTTAATATTTTGACATCCCCCCGCCAGTTAAAATTCATGTACTCGTTTTCCTGAAAGATAAGTTTGTGTTTGAGTTCCTTCCACTGTTATCTCCAAACTAGTGTTCTCTGCCAGATTTGTTGGGTTTTGATGTGTTATCTGCAGTTCTTGATCTACTGCAGCTTTTCCCTTGAGGCTTCTGTTATTAATTTCCCTCCTGTGTATGTGTTGTCGGGTGGGAGGGGAGCAGTTCTCCATATGCTTCCAAACACGCTCGTTTCCTGATTCTGAAAAGTGAATCTGCAAAATTCCAAAGGGGGTATCTCTAGGAAGGAAAACTGAAGTTTTTTTTTAATTATTATTTGACTTTTCGCTGCTAGTCTTGCAGAAAAATTCTATTCTGATATGGAACACTACAAGAATGAGTAAACACTTAGAATTATTATCAGTCTTACAGACTTACTAGTTTTCTTCGGTTTTGTGCCGAGACATGAATATTCTTTTAACTTAAGCAACAAAGCTTGTAAGACTGCAGAACGCTTGAGGAAACCTACAACCTGTGCACTGAGTATTCGTGTTATTACCACAGTCACAAAAACCTGAATGTTTATTCCTCTCTAACAAATTTTAAAAAACCTTTTGGTTCTTTGGATAGGTAGAGGATGGATTATTTTTAATAAAGTTGATCTAGGAACCCAGTGGGCTGACCTCATCTCTGTGGTTATGTAACACATTTAAGATAACTGACCTTGTGTTAACTCTGTTAACTAGAAGCCTTTTAGTAAAGTATTACTAAATCTTTTTTCTGTAGTTTTCAAAATTAAAAATCTCCCACGAAGCCACTTTCTTTTTTTCCTCATAAAATACCCACCTTGATTCTTGCTTTCAGCTTGATACCACTATTTAACAGTAGTAATTTCGCTCTAGACCCTCCTGCCAGAAACTTGTCTACCATTTGTAGACCCTGACAAAGTACACATAATTTTAGAAGTTGTACTTGCCAACCAGCCAACTAAGTTTTACAGCTGGAGAGAATACTACTCAAGTGAGGGGAACTTGCTGTGCATTCAGAACTGCTAACACACTTGATTTAGTGAA